CCCCAAAACCCCAAAACCCCAAAACCCCAAAACCCCAAAACCCCGTAATGACAATAAAAGGTATGTAAGATCAAAAGATATTAAGATAATTTAATCATCTACAAAAAGAGTAATTGTTTTTGATTAGCTGATGCCATAGCAAATCAAGTAAGTGCCTTGAGTTTCTCATTAAATACCCTTAAGTACGCTTGCTATCTACTTTTTGTTTAATGACCTTGAACCAATGTATGTTCCAACCATCATTGTAATAATGGATAATACTGCTAAGAAGATATACATTTTAGATGGCAACTATTAAGATTAGTTAAGGTTTATAATTCTTACAATAAATCGGAAAGGCATCTCTAGCATTAACATGAATTAAGACATAAGGCAGCAAGCTATAATGAATCCGATTATAAATCCAAGAACTATCGAACTTAGATTATTGACTGCACTCTCATACATTGTGATTCTCAAAATTTCTTTTTTGTTCATGCCCATTGCCCTTAGCACACCTAATTCCCACATTGAATCTCTAATGTTAGCAGAAATGGAGACTATTAACTAGAACATTCCAAGTGTAAAACAAATGATCGAAATAGCTGCATTAAATATATCAAGAAGTATCAATCTTTGATCGATGTTTTCTAGGAAGCTCTGCCTATCAAAAACTAGCAAGGTCTCATCCTTAATGAAGTTTAGAAGGTTATTCTTAAAAATACTTCTTTGAAACCTGGTAGTATTAGAAATTAGCTTCATAAATAATCTATTTTTTGGGAGATCGTAGCTAAATTTAGGCATGTCAAGCAACTTTTATCTAAACGCTTCACCACGTTTAGGGTATATCTGGAAAATGTGATCTACTAGCTACCTTAGTTAGGGTAAGGACATAATCTAAAAGTTTGTCATGTGTCTTGCATGAGCATATCCAGTGTAAGTGATATAGCCTGGCATTTTGCTAGCAGCAAGCATTACTCTATATCTTGCTTTTACAGCACAATTAACGGGCTCTTCATGCATGAATATATCTCCTATTTTTCCAGGGTTATCATCACCAAGACACAAGATATTATGCTCACCAACATTTTCATAAAGCATACCCCTTAATCCCTCTGATGAAATAAAGTTATAAATTGAACTGTCAATAACAGTTGAATTATTAACATCTCCTACTATGATATCTCGAGGGTCATATTGCTAGACTATCTTGCTAGCATCATTGATATCATAAAACATTTCCATGATTTCTTTTGCTTTATAATGCTTTCCTACATTCAAAGGATCATCTACATACTCAGTTGGAAAGAAATAGCTTAGGTCTAATGTATCTAATGCATTTCTCTCCAAAGAATATATCCTAGCTTTAGATAGTTTTCTTGTCATACCAGGATGCTTCATATTTGCTAAAATAGGATTCATTCCTTTTATTTCAGTCAATTTTTCGATCTGCATTGTCTAAAAAGTATAAGATTCTACAAGCCCTCCTTTGGAAGCCATATTTTCTTCTATAAACTCCCTTAGCTTAAATTCATCAAGCAATGATTCATTATGACCTTCAAGCAATATTTTTGTAACTGAAAGATCTGATCCGACAATAATCTAAGCAACCGAAACTAAAAAGTAGTGTATCTGTTAGAAGTTAGCATTTGTAAAAACTAGAAAACTTAGTGTCAATGTAAACATCATTGAGGTCTTGAGATTCCTTGTTGCATGACTCTTAAGATTTTTCTAAATGATAGTTTTGAGCTTACCCTCAGTTGGTCTAAAGAATATTATGATATTAAGAAACATATTTTCTAGTTTGGGTACTAAAACCTAAGCCAAAGTAATTAGTCCCATTATTAGTAGAATAAGTAAAAGATTAATCAGGAAAGAAAAGGTCTTCATATCTTAATGAAGGAATGCTCTGGGTATGTAGTAAAATGTTATTGCTCCACAAAACATTAGAGTAATGGCAATTAAAAATTGACTAATAGAGAATCCATAATGCTCTAATCTTATCATTTAAACTTCAAAATCATCTGCATTTCCTCTAAATTAGTCTAGTGCATTTCTAAGGGAATTTCCCAATGCTTATTTCATTGGAATTATATTAGATATAAATGGGAGCACAATTCCTAAAAATAGCCCCATTAATATAGTACGAGTTTGCATAGTGATGTCCGATGAGTATTCTGCAAATATAAAGAGAACAACCTATGCACCATTCTAACAAATGAAGTTAATGATAAATCCTAGAACCAATCCTGGAATAGAATAGAGAACTGCTTAAATTGACAGAAGCACCAACAGATTTTAGTTTCTTAATCCCATAGTTCTAAGCATAGCAAATTCATAAGTTCTTTCTTCGACATCAGATTAGGTTAGGGAATAAATTAGAATAAAACTGATTAGGCAGAGAAAGAACATAACCATGAACATAAAATTTTCTAGTAAACTAGTAATCATTCTCATTGTCCCCATTGAATCAAAAATAGGAGTGCTGACTGTTATATTGGAATTTAAAGATAAAAACTTTGCAATATCATTTACTATTCTTTAAAATTCTTAAGGGGGTCCAAAGTATTTATTTTTCCTGTTCTTTATCTATACTATGACATTTAATGCATATTCCTCAATTTTAATAGAGGAAAACTACTTCTAGATTGAAGAATTTATCTATTCCATAAGAATCTCATATATTTCTTGATCATAATTATTAGTTATAAAGAACTGCTCAATATTTTTTTTCATCATTAAGCTCATATCACCTAATAGATAGTTTGAATCTATCATTAAAGCATTTCCTATTGTCGTCGGCCACTTCCCATATGTCTAATCAACACTCTGCTTTATGGTGTAATTCTTCTTTAATACAAAGTCTTTTTGATTTATATTCTAGAGAATGATCTCAAGTATCTCATAAATGTATAGCTCATTCTATTTTTATATCTTCTTAAAGATTCCTAATTCTATTCTACCTATTTGATTCAAATCTTCCTCATTTTATAACTATAACAATATCAACATATTCTATCTCTTACTCTCTTCATGATACTTTTAATCATTCTATCACTAAAATACTCAGAAGGAATTATCTTTACTGTTGGATCTAGTCCTAGATATTCCATGATATTTTAGCCTTGACTTAATGTAGAATTTATTAATTCATAGTCGAATACCAACCTTTTAAGTTTTGTAAAATCTAGTGAGGCGATCTAAAACAGATCAAACTATAATCTAGGTTATATTATGCATCTATAGTAATTGTTACATTGAGTTCTATTTATTCACCGACATTCAAACCCATTAGTTTTAGAATGTCTTCATTCACAATAACTTCATCTTATTTCAGGATAGTGCTAGGAAATCCAAATGCAACTCCAATATCTCTTTCAAGTTTTGTATCCTATTAAAGTTTTTATTGTCATTTAAGATATATTATGATAATTTTGACTTACAGCAATGATAGTAAATGCTGATGTGTGATGCTAATGATCATTTGGGTTAATTGCTGTGCACAGTGCCATCCATCTTGGAAAACTACCTGCATACTCTTAAGAGTCCTAGAGTTTTTGCTTTATGTCAGTATAATTTATGAAAGGCATTGAAAAAGATTTCGGAACATAAGAAGGCAAGTTACCTTGAGATTCATTAACCCATCTATAATTGAACTAATCAATATCTTAAGTGAAAAAATTCCCGTTTTTAAGTATCATTTGCTCTGATCGATCTCTAATTGAAAGTTTCAAATCAAAATCACCCGAACTTGCCTGACTAGTCATCATAAAGACTGCAGGTGCAAGTTGAACTAAAGAGTCAAGGAAAGTGACGAAACCTACTACAAGAAATATTGTCATAACACCTATCTTGAACTGCTTTTACTTCTTTCTCAAATCACTCAAGACATAGTCAAACGCTGTCCTAAACACTGCCTTAAAAGATTGATCGTCGATTCTCTTGACTTCTTAGTTATTTATTATACTTTTTGTTTCTTTCTAAGTCTATTATGTTGGAATAAATTGTGGTGTTTTATATTTCACTTCAATGTCTTTAGATTGATCTTAAACGGATGACTAATCTTTATTAGCTTTATTTGAAACTGACTTTGAATTTTTTTATTTAATAGCAGCTGATTTTTATTCCTTCTTTCATAGCTAGGCAGATGATGAATGCTTCCCATTTTTGGTCTTATCAATTAGTTCAATTTTCCTTTTATCCATTATTTTTATATTTTATGTATTTACTATAATTTTCTACTTATTTAACATGGGGTTTTGGGGTTTTGGGGTTTTGGGG